CGAAGATCGTGAAAACAAAGAACGCAGCAATTTAAATAGGTATTTTTTAATTTTCCATTTTGTGTGTCGGAAAAATGTTTGGATTTTTTAGTGTTCTGGCACTAAACGTATATATTTGTACGCTTTACACCATTTACCCCATTTACAAGCTACACAAACATCTAGCAATGTATACTAGATATGAGATGGTGTCTAGACGGTGTGTCCTCTGTATTTCCGAGCAATGTATTTAGTGTATACTAGATATGAGATGGTGTCTAGACGGTGTGTCCTCTGTATTTCCAATGGAAATAAAGATAATCGAATAAGTTAAACATATAAAACAAAAAAACAGTTACATTTTTATGCTGACTGCTTCGGGTTTTGGCGGATAAAAAATATCGATTATTCCCACCATAATAAAACCAATAAAAACTGCATAAAATAGTTCGTTGTAATAATTTGCTATAACAATTTAAAACAGGATAAAAATCGTCTATTTATCTAATAACATATCGTATATACCCCTCTGATAACCTTATAAGCTTACATTGTTTTAATTAATTCACAATAACACGATTTAAGACTTAGAGACGCCTCGATGGATGATGTTTACGGGTAATTTTAAATGTATAATATGCCCATATATCTTCTGCGGTGATTTCAAATTCTAATATTCCAATGTATATAATAATAATGAATTCACAATATCACCATATTGGATTCCGATTCGAGTGTATGTGGTTGGCACACTATTCATTGAGCATAGTATAATCGATTCCCAGAAATGAATCAAATATGACATTATGTTATATTTCTATATTAAATTTCAGCTGGAACACCAGTTAAGATAGCGAGAATCAGAGATCGTTATGCTCGTAAATACGAATTTACTAATATGAGTTTCACACATCATTAATACTTATACCAGATAATTTATGATTTATTTCATTTATCCTCTTACAATGCAAATAATTGTTGCATTTCCAATAGAACGGCTGTGACAGAATAAATCATATTACTCATGTACAGTTTCGTATATCAATATTGATATATCATGTACGTAATCGATTACAATATAACGTGTTTAGATATTGTAATCGCAGCGATAAATAACGTAATCCGGGTTTCTCATGGCTGGCTATAGCTCTTATGTTGTGCCGTTTGATATGCCGTCTTTCCACCCAAAATAATGATACTGGCCATGCCCAATTGATGTGAAGTTAGTTTATGAGTACCTCATTCAAAATATATCATTTTTTTAAAGAAATTTATCAATGAGCATTTTCAATTGATGGTCATGTAGGATGAGCTAAATGTAAATGCAACTAATTCAGAAACACAATGGGGCTGAATTAATCACGTAATTATTAGATCCTATGAAATTCCATTCCCAGCCCCATTTTTCGAGTAATATATCAAACGATTGCATCCCGGAATTATTCAAATCATAAGGAGTACAGTTACATTACAACAAAATTCTAGGTCACTAATAAGCGTTTCTGTAACAACTCCTTTCAATTTCAAATTTAAACCAATAGATATTGCCGTCTTATATCAAGTCATCATAACTGAACTGAAAAAACACGTGACTTTGCAAGTTACACACTAGAGCATGCGTTGTTGTGTTTGATTTCATTGACAGAGAATACATAATTATAGTAGGATTTCTGCCACAAAATAATGGTGGGGCGAGAGCTAAATAGACGTGCCTTGGCTGGCAAAGATGTGGACGTGCACACAAACACAAACAATATCACATCGTGGAATGTAATAGTATGATATTGTATTCTCATAGACGTACAAAATCAATGTAAATCCATTACTTTTGTATTAGTCACAACCAATAACTCAATCATGCTTTCGTCCTTAGTGTCATAATGTTTGTGCATGCAGAGGCTGACAAGTTTATGGCTTTACCACTGATTATAATTGGGCTTGACATTAGCGTAGCTTGCTGGCAAGCCTGATATTTTTGTGAAGACTATAATTATTTTCTCTCTCAACGATAACTCACAATGCAGACTGTAAAAATCAAAATGCAGACTCAAAATGTATATTGGCGTGAATCAATTTTTATCAGAATATGTTGTTTGTTTTTAAATAGCCACAATGTTTTTTTTCAACATGAAATGATGTACACTTTTTACCGAGTAGTGTAAGTTTTAATTGTTAAGGGATTGGTGATTCACTTAGTCGTTTTAATTTTAAATTTGGAGTAATTGAAGAGGTGATATTTTAAAATCATAGTATCTCAACAATTATACAACATAGCAGATTTCTATTTGATTAACATATAGTAAGGAGAGAGATTATCCTGAACTGAAATTTAATTCCCCCAAAATATGCAAATATAAAGATTTAGTCACCCACAAAACTCACACTGGACAGGAGGTTCTTTCACTGCTAGAATGGGGTAGACAAAACAATAATACTGGAAATGAAATACACATACACCAAAATATCAAGTAAAAGCTCCTGGCTTTAATACCACCCAAAATATTTACAAGAAACAAAGTACAGAAACAAAACAATGAATAAATTCACTAAAATAGGGGATTGCTTAGGGAAGTTTGCATTGGTGATAACTCACGGCTCCAGGATGTGGAAATTGATGAAAGTCAATGGCTTCTGCAAAACAACAACAAAGAAGAAATACAGGAGCCTTGCTTGCAGAGAAAAGCTGGTATTCTGGAGGGCACCGCTGATAGCAATAACAGGAGGTCGCAGAGCAGTTCATACAAGTTTAACAGAATGATGATTGAAGCCTGAGTCACTTATCTCACAATATCGTAGCAGGGTACTCAGTTGAAAGGTGGACATCTACATCTGCCTATTTATAAGACATAACGGCGCAGATTCAGGTACACCACCTGGGTTTCCCCATGAGCCAAACAGAATGTGGTCTTGCTATCAGCTGTCTCACGTAGGCAAGTCAGTAAATCGTAAACATCCTTTTTTATTTAAATCACAAGCAGAGTTGTATATTCTAATTGTCCTTTCA